TGTTTTTCTCCTCGGGTTCTGGTGCCCCAGTGAGCTCCCCAGCGAGGCTGGGAGACAGCAGCAGAGGAGAGGGATTTCCAAGCGGGATTAAGGTTCAGGATTAAGTCAGGGCATGAAAGGGGGTAGGGTGGGGAGGGCTGGCTGCCGGGCTAATCCCAGCAGCTAATCTCCAGCAACTCCTTCCTCCATCAGTTAACGGTTTTGACACTCCCCAGACCCCCAAATCCTTATGCATCACCCAGTCCCAAGGGGATGCATTCTCTCCATTTTATGGGTGAGGAAATTGAGACTCGGAGCCCAAGTGACTTGTGTATGGTACAGTAGAAAGTGCTCCAGCTGGGAATGCGGCCGGCCTGGACACTCTGTACCTCCACAGCACTGGGAGAAGGGCTGCTGCTGTGCCCAGGAACCCTGCCCCAGCAGTCCACAGGGATCTCTGCTTTAGTGACCTCGAGGTCAGGAGCAGCCTCTAGGAGGGGGGCTCCCTGCCCGTCTCCCTACCACCCCCACCATCATGCCTTTGCTAGGCCAGGGGAGGGCAGGGCAGGAGGGCCCCTCCTAGAGCCTATCTTCTCTTCCACCCTCCTTCCAAGACCATCCAGGGCTCTCCAGGCCTGCACCAGCTTCTCTCCCGCTGCTCCTCCATCCTGTAGCCAGCGGGGCTCTGGCCCCTGGACGCAGGAGCCTCTTGTTTGAAGTAACCTTTCAAATGTAACTCAGCCTTCCAGGCCTGGTCCACAAGGTCCAACGTCCAGGAGGTCAGGGAGGAAGCTACCTTCTCTGGACTCCCATAGGCCTCCTGGTTAATTCGTCTGATATCCGAGAGGGAGGCAAGGGTGGCCATGGAGATGGGGTACCACACATGCTCGCCTCATATTAATTCTCATGACTCTTTGGGGGCAGGACTTGGGATCCCCTCCTTACAGGGGTGGAGGTGGAGGTGGAGGCCCAGATGGGTTAAATGAGCTGTCCAGCGTTGCACACCTAGTGCATTGCACACAAGGACACTGGTCAGTGTGATATTTGAAACTGGGGGTCCATGCTGTCTCCCTTCTCTGGGAGTTTGACAAGCCCAGCTCTCGGCTCCCCGAGTAAGGGCAGGGGGTCTGAAAGAGATGGGCGCCTCTCTACCCCACGTCTCACTGTCCCCACCAGAGCCGGCTAGGCTGTGGTGCGGACACACTCCCAGGCCGCTGTGGCCCCAGCCCCGCCTGACAGGATGAGCGGCTCAGACGCGGGGCTGGAAGAGGAGCCGGAGCTCAGCATCACCCTCACTCTGCGGATGCTGATGCACGGCAAGGTGAGTGGGCGCGGCCTCCCCTGAGGCTGGGGGGCGGGGGCGGGGGTGCAGTGCTGGGGGAGGGGCAGGGCCAGGGGCATTGGCACCTTCCCTCTGACACCTCCCTTGTCCTGTTCGCAGGAGGTGGGCAGCATAATTGGCAAGGTAGGTGCCTGGTTCTGTTCTGTATGGCCCCTTTAACCTGAGGCTGCAGGCCAGGAAAGGCAGCAGACGGCTGCTCAGACTAAAGAGCCGGTCTCCGGTTTTGTCTCTGCAGAAAGGAGAGACCGTAAAGCGAATCCGGGAGCAGGTGAGGGCGCAGTTTGGGAGAGGAACCCAGGGCACGAGATTTGGAGGGAGGGGAGATCCCTGGCCCACCCTCTCCCTGAACCCTCCATCTGGGATGACCAGTGAGTGCCCTTGGAAGGTGGCCGTTCTACCCCGCCTGGGGCCTGGCGAGGAAGTGGAGAGCCCCACTGCCCCGTGCTTGTCCTGTACCTGCAGAGCAGTGCCCGGATTACCATCTCTGAAGGCTCTTGCCCCGAGCGCATCACCACCATCACAGGTTCTACAGCAGCCGTCTTCCATGCTGTCTCCATGATCGCCTTCAAGCTGGACGAGGTCTGTGGCTGCCTGGAGTGGGAGGCCAAGGGTAGTTGCCTGGGAGGAACAGGACTCCGACCCCACATAGTGGCTGGGGATGGGAGGGAAGTCCAGTCCTGGGCAGGGCTCTCTCATTGGAGTGGGACTAGGGGAGGGCTTCCCTCCTTCCTCCCCCAGCAGGAAGGTGCTTCCGGGCAGGGGAGCAGCAGGGGTGTGCACAGCCAACCCACAGTCTTCCTGCCCAGGACCTTTGTGCGGCACCTGCCAACGGTGGGAACGTGTCCAGGCCACCAGTGACCCTGCGCCTTGTCATCCCCGCCAGCCAGTGCGGCTCACTGATTGGGAAGGCTGGCACCAAGATCAAGGAGATCCGAGAGGTGAGGGAAGGGGACGCCATCCCCCGGGAGTCCTCTGTCCACTTGCGGGAGGGGACCTGGGCTTCTGCCTCCCTGACCCCTGGGAGCTCTGAGCCTGGCAGCACTATGCCAGGTTGTGGGAGCACCTGGAAGTGGCCCCTGTCCTCTGCTTTCAGACCACAGGGGCCCAGGTGCAGGTCGCGGGGGACCTGCTCCCCAACTCCACAGAGCGTGCTGTAACCGTGTCAGGGGTTCCTGATGCCATCATCCTGTGTGTGCGCCAGATCTGCGCTGTCATCCTGGAGGTGCTGGCCTGGGGCAGGGCGGGGGGCAGCGATGGGCTCTGGCTCTGCATTGTCAGGTCCCAGATCCTGTATGTGTGCCAGCAGGTGGGGGCAGGTAGGGCTGCAGGGATGGATGAGGAGTTCCAGGATGTGGGGATGCACTTACCTGGGGGTCACAGGGAGGGCCTTGAGAACATAGGGCCCTTGGGGAGGTGAGGGGACCCTGAGGGGATCCTGACAGAGCCTCCCCTTTGTGCCTTCCAGTCCCCACCCAAAGGAGCCACTATCCCCTATCATCCAAGCCTCTCCTTAGGCACCGTGCTTCTCTCCACCAGCCAGGTGAGGGCAGCGGTGGGGAACTGAGATAAAGGCGGGGGACTGAGATAAGGGAGTGGATAGAAGAAGGAGCTGCAGTCTGGTGGGGGGCAGTGAATGGCCACACTGCCCTGCTCTGTCATGGAAACCCCCTTTCACTCACTTTGTCCCCACAGGGCTTCTCCGTACAGGGTCAGTATGGGGCTGTGACCCCAGCTGAGGTGAGTGACCACAGCCCAAGCCCCTCTTCCCCAGCTGAGCCCCCTCTGACTTCCGGCCTCTCTTCCGTATAGGTCAGCAAGCTGCAGCAGCTGTCGGGCCATGCAGTCCCCTTTGCCTCACCCAGCATGGTGCCAGGTGAGTGGTGCCTGCAGATGGAGGCAGGGGCAGACCCCTAGAATGGAAATGGGGGGCAGGGAAGGCCCAGACCCATGCCCAACCTCTCTTCTCTCAACCAGGACTGGATCCAGGCACGCAGACCAGCTCACAGGAGTTCCTGGTTCCCAACGACGTAAGCAGGGGATGTGGTGGTTTGGCGGGTGGGGGATGACCAGGGGTCTGGGCCTCGCCTAGGGTTGAATTCCACCCTCCCCCCAGCTGATTGGCTGCGTGATCGGGCGCCAGGGCAGCAAGATCAGTGAGATCCGGCAGATGTCAGGGGCACATATCAAGATTGGGAACCAAGCGGAGGGCGCTGGCGAGCGGCACGTGACCATCACTGGCTCGCCAGTCTCCATCGCCCTAGCCCAGTACCTCATCACTGCCTGGTGAGTGGGGCTGGGGCATGTCACCGGGGGACTCAGTGCCTCAGAGCGCACGGCTGGGGCGGGGAGAGCTGGCCTCCCTTCTCTATTGGTCCTGTCCTCTGCCTCCCCTGCCTCACTCGCTCCCTGTCGCCCCTCTCCTCCACCCTGACATCCATCCCTCATGTCCTCCTGCCCCATCCCTGTCTCTTTCCCAGGGTTTTTGGCCCCCCTGTTTTTGCCGTGACCCCATAGTATATCTGCCTGTCCTTTCTCCCCCTACCTTCCACCCTCCCCATCTTCTCCCAAACACGCCTGCCCCATGTTCTTGTCCACAGTCCCTCCTCCGTCTTGCATCTAATCTCGCCCTCATTGCCTCTCCTCACCCCATCTTCCCCTTCATCTCGCCCCATATCCCTCTCTCCAGTCTAGAAACGGCCAAGTCTACCTCTGGGGGGACACCCGGCTCGGCCCCCGCAGACCTGCCTGCCCCCTTCTCGCCACCCCTGACGGCCCTGCCCACAGCTCCCCCAGGCCTGCTGGGCACGCCCTATGCCATCTCCCTCTCCAACTTCATCGGCCTCAAGCCTGTGCCCTTCTTGGCTCTGCCACCTGCCTCCCCAGGGCCACCGCCGGGCTTGGCGGCCTACACTGCCAAGATGGCAGCAGCCAACGGGAGCAAGAAAGCGGAGCGGCAGAAGTTCTCCCCCTACTGAGGCTGGCTGAGGCCCAGGCGTGGGGGCAGGCAGAACTGCGGTAGGGGGCTGCCTCTGTACCCTACCTGCCCAAGGAGACTCCATCCTGGGGTCCCAAAAGCCGCTAATGCCCAGACGCATGGATGCACCCCCACCCAGCCCCAGTCAGTGGGAGCGCCTTTTCTCAGAGGGGTCAGTGTCCAGCTCAGGGTCTGGGAGCTGCGGCAGCCCCGAGGTAGGGGGCTCTGGCCCCTCTGGCTTTGTGCTTGGATGCAGGGAGCATCCTTAGTGCCCCCACTTTGGGAGTCACTCATGTACTCCCTACCCCTCAGGGCTTCCTAGCCTACTGCCCCCTGTGGGGATCAGGGAGGAGGGCTGGGGGGCTGCTGGGGGCCGTGCTTCTCTCCCCACCTCCCTGCAGATTCCTGCTGCTTCCACTGATAACCCTTTTGACTGGAATGGACTGGCTGGGTTTAGCAGAGGGCAACTCAAAGAGGGGGTGCCGCCAGGCAGCTGTGGGAGTGGCATGGGGGCAGGGGCCGAGTTCGCAGCAGCAGACACTGTACAGTTTTTTCAATCCCTGTTTTTGAATAAATATTCTCAGAGACCAGGGAGCTGTGAAACACTGTGGGTGTTGGCAAAACCTCCAGAAAGTGGGTGCAGCCGAGGCCCCAGAGGATCCCCATCTGTGAGTCCAGGAGCTCCACATCAGTTCTAGGGCTTCAGGGCCCTTTGGGGATCGTGTTGTCCAGGCTCCTGCCTCTGGTGGTTTCCTGGGCGTTTTAGAGGCTGATGGAGGAGTTCCGGGAGCTTCGTTCAGCCCCTTCTTAGTGCAGATGTCAGGGGATCCCTCTGAGTGTCTCCACCAGTTCCTCCTGCGTGACTGTTACCGAGATCCTGCCCCGCCTGGCCCATCCCTCTGGCTGTGAGTCGTTAGGGCCCTCTTCTCTGTGGCCCTGCCCACCTCCCTCCTTCCTGGTCTGGGAACCATCCATGAGTATGCAAACCACCTAAGCTGGAGACCTTGAGATGATCCAGGATACAGATGGGGAAACTGAGGGCTAGGAAGGGTCTGTCTGTGCACAGGCCAGGCAGGGCTGGGTCCAGAACCCAGGATTCCTAGGTCCCAGAAGCCTCTGGGCCTTACCAGGCTGCAGGCCCCTTTCTCCTGTTCTGGAGTCAGAAGTTCTGGCAGGGCACCTACCACCACCTGTGGCAGGAGGCTGGAGGGGCCCCTTCGGAGAGCCCCTCCTTTCTCCCGTGTGAGCTCGGCTTGGGGGACACTGCTCTCAGGTGGCCTCCGCTCAGGCTCTCCTCGCCTTCCAAATCTCGGGCTGGTTTTGGTGCCTCAGAAGTGCCGAAGGCGGGGCGCAGTGGAGGCCCCCGGAGGTGCTGCAGGAGTGCCCGCGGGTGCCAGGCCCGCGGGGGTCGGGGCAGCGCTCGGCGGGCTAGGCGGCCCAGCCCCCGGCGCACCGGGCGCTGCAGCAGGCCGTAGAGGAAGGGCTGGGCCGCGAAGGCCGAGTAGGCCACCCAGGTGACGGCTGCTTCGGCCGCCGCGACCCGCGCCGCGGGCGCCAGGCACGCGCAGCCGTAAGGCAGCCAGCAGGCTGCGAACTGGCCCACGGCCAGCGCTGGGGCCAGGGCCGCTTTGCCCCCGGGCAGGCGCGGCGGGAGCGGCGGCAAGATGGAGAGGCGGCTGTCCAGGGAGTCGGAGCGCGGCCGGGCCCCGCGCGCGGGCCGCGGGGGCCGCAGGGCAGCGCGGCGCGCCACGAGGAAGATGCTGCCGTAGGCGCCGAGCAGCAGGAGGGCGGGCAGCGCGAAGGCCAGCAGCGCCCAGAGCGGCCGGAAGGGCCCGAGGCCCCCGGCCAGGACCGAGCAGCGCGCCGGGGCGGGGGGCGGGGCGGGCGGCGGCCCGAGCAGGGCGAGCGCGCCCAGCAGCGCGGCCGCGGCCCACACGGCGGCGAGCACCAGGGCGGGCGGGGGCCGCGCGCCGGGCCGCAGCGGGTGCACGATGAGGCGGCAGCGCGCCAGGCCGAGCGCGGCCACGCCGAGCGTGCAGGCCGGCAAGAGCGCGGCCGAGAGGAAGCGCGCGGCGCGGCAGGGCGCGGGGCCCAGGCGCACCCGGCCCAGCCCGGGCGGCGGCGCGGCCAGCAGGCCCAGCGGCATGATGGAGGCGGCGGCCAGCAGGTCCACGACGCACAGGTGCACCAGGTAGAGCGCGTCGCGCAGGCCGGGCGTGCGCAGCACCACGACCAGCAGCGCGCCGTTGCCCAGCAGGGCCGCCGCCTCCACGACGGCCGCCAGGATCAGCCCCACGGAGCCCGCGGTGCCTGCGGTGGTCAGCCCTGTGGTGTTGGCCATTCGAGCGCTCAGGCTTCTCCCCGTGCTGGACGCAGAGAGGGAAGTGGAGTGCGCCCCCTGCCCCATTCCCATCCCACCGGCTGCCCCTCTGGCCCCTCACCTCATAAACAGCCAGGCCCATGTTGCCATCCGCCTGGGGACTTTGACTGCCCCATGGAGACTTGTACGGCTGGGACTACCGCCTGCTCCTCTGCCCCAGCACTCAGCCCCTGCTGGGGATGGTACTGGCTGTCACTCTGCTGTTGCCCTTTAGAGACACACAGAGCTGGCAAGGGAGGGGCAGGGCCTGGCACCAGCGCCCTGGGTCCTAGCAGCTGCCAGCTGGAAGTTGGAGGCTGTGTGGTGGAAGTGCTGGGGTGCCTCCGGAGGGGGGGGCCAGAGCAGGCGCAGGCTGGAGTCTAGACCGAGGTGGACAGAGTGTGGGCTTCCAAGTCCGCGGGACCCTGCTCTGTCTTTCCCTGGGGTGGGAAGTGGCCCCCGTGCTCTCCTCTCCCATCCCCATCAGTGGAGCGACCAGGCCCTTCAGCCCTTGTGCTGAAGGGAAACCAAGGTACCAGTGAGACAAGGGGTGTGGTGGCAGGGGCAGCAAGGTGCCCTCCGGCCTCCAGGAGGGCTGACTCTCTCAGAGGTCCAAGTAAGTTAGGTGAGGGAAGGACCACAGGACCTGGCACGGGGTGTGTTCAGCTGGGACTGGCAGAGCACACATAGGTGCTCTGTGGTAGCGTGCAGGATTAATGATGAGAGGAGGCCTTGGGGCAGCCACTGGTTTTGTTTTTTGTTTTATTTCTGCTGTTAGTGGACAACGAGGGGCTTGGCCCAGGGAAAGCTGTGAGTCTTGATGGGGCCTGAGTCCCCAGCTGAAGTCACCCAGTCCCTCTTCAGTCCCTGGTGGCCTGCATCTGTATGAAGCGCCTTCCTCCCCACTGAGCCCTGGATGTGGGGATCCAGCTGCCTCCCCAGTTTCGCTCCCAGGACTGAGAGTCGTCCTGGGGACAACACAGAACTGACTCTCGGTTCCTCCCCACCGTCCATGCTCAGTCCTCCTGTTTTGGTGAAGTCACTGGCCCTCCTTCCCCCCAACCCCAAACTGGTCTATCAGTGTATCCTGAATATAGCCATTTCTTACCACCGCCACTGCCGCGGTCCCAGCTGCTGCCTGTCTCACCCGGACTGTTTCCGCCTCCTCCTAATTGGTCTCCTGGCCTCCACACCTGCGCCCATGCTGGCCATTGGCCCGTTTGCCCTCAGACCCACTCTGCAGTCTTCCCCAGAGCTGCCCTGCCTTCCAGGGAGCTGTACTTCGGGACTCCTTGTCAGTTGGTGTTGGGGTGTATTCGGCCGATGGAAGTTAGCAGCAGAAGGCTGAAGGGTGAAGGAGGGAAGAAGCCAGGGCCTTTTCTCTCCCATGGGCAGGCTGGGGCTCTGGGTCTCCCACTGTGGAAGGCCTCTCTCTCCTTCAGACAGCCCCCTCTGCCATCCCAGGCCCACAGGGTAACCCTGGCCTCTGGGCATTGGAAAGCCTTCCTTCCGCTGTTCTCAGCCTCGGGGTGGTCGCGACTTCCTGCCGTTACTATTGTCTGGGTTGCCTCCCCGTCCCTTTGGCAGTTCAGCTTCTTTCCTGTATCAAGTCCCTGGGTCTGGAATACCCGAAGTGGTTTCTGTTATGCTGACAGGGCTTGGCTGACGCACGCCGCAGTCCTCTCACCCCAGCAGCTGAAGAGGGTCCGCCTAAAAGCAAATTGCATCATGCCGTGATGCTGCCTTCTTCCCTCTCGAGTTTCCCATCAGCAGATAGCATCTCAGCCCCTCTGAGCCGGGTGGACTCCCACCTGCTTCTCTGACCTCACCCTCTTCCTTGTTACTGTACTTCCTGCCCTAGCAATCATCTTCCTGGTCCCCCCTGGTGTCAAGCTGGCTTCTACCTCAGGATCTTTGCACCTGCTGTTTCTCAGCACACCCTTCCCCCAGATCTTATCAGGGCTTGCTCCTACCCACAGTTCAGTCTCTGCTTGAGAAGCCGTCAGTGACCATGTTCTCTAAAATCAATCCACCCTCTTGTCACTAACCCTTTATTTTCATCCTGGCACTTTTCCTACCTCATCTATATCATCTGTACTTACTTGCTTGTTTAGAGCCTGCTTATTAGACTGTAACACTCCATGAGAGAAGAGACCTTGTCTGTGGCTTGCTTGTGCCTTGCCCCGAGGACCATCACCATCTGTACAGATCCAGGTTGTAGATGATGCCAGGGCTCCAGGTTTGACTCATTTCCTTCTGGAATTTGAAGGGCATGGTCCAATTCTACATTATTCAGATGAAAAAACTGGCACCCAGAGAGGGAAGGCATGTGTCCCAAACCATACAGCTGAGTTGTACCTGGAATCCAGGTCACCAGCTTTCTAGCTTGTCCACCCAGGCACCACTGCTGGAACTTGGCCATAACCTGAATGTGGGCATTTGCCTCTGGGAGGTGAAGCAGGAATTTTTGGGATCTTGGTTCAGAGTATGGAGAAGGACAACACTTTCCTTCTCTCCCTGCCCACTAGATCTGCAGGCCTGGGGCAGCCCCTGAGCCATCAGGGCCTGGGGAGGGTGGTAGGGCCAGGTGGGGACAGCTAGTAAGAAAAGTGGACTAGGGCCGGCAGGGGGCGCTAGGGGGGCTTGCAGAGCGCGCGCTCCTCTCAAAACCAGCAACTGGTGCGCCGCAGTCTTTTTGTTTTTGTTAATTGGCAGAAAGAAACGCAGAAGGATAAACCAGAAACTACAGCAGGTGGTGGGGATGGAGGAAGACACTCTTCTGAGCACACACTTTTGTACAGATTGGACTTTTTGGAACTATGTTAATGCTCTACTTATTAAAAAAAGCCAATCAGAAGATGAGGAAATCCCTCTTAAAAGTGAATATAAACAGAAACAAATGAACCTACCTGTATTTCAGATGAATAACATAACCACACTGAAGGGAAATAATAACAATCTAAGTAACCTTGGAACCTGTGTTGAAACTGTTACTATGATCATTGACATGCTGTCTAAAGACAAAAAGATAGCCTTGAATAAGATTCAATAAATCTTGAGGTCTCCTTAGAAAATTTGGTTTTCACAGTGGTATGGGTGTAGCAATTATGAAACTCTTTCTGTGTGAGATTGAGCAAATAAATTTATTGATGTTAATGGAGACCAAGTTTCTTACTGTTAGAGAAGGGAGGAATAGTTATGGATTGGGGAAGAATGCAAGAACCCTGGTGTTGGATTGGAACTGGTGAAATGGACAGATGTGGTGGGTTTTTTTTAGATGTGGTGGTTTATTTACAAATTTCCTAACTCTCTTTACTACAAGGACTTGAAAGCAATAGCACTCCAGTACCAAGGAGTGCACTGACTGCCCACATCTTGGATTCTAAATACCGTTTCCTGCTCCAGGGAACTAGGGCTCCCTGGAGAAATGGCTGAGGTTTGGGCAAGAATGAACCTGGAACTTATTGTGATGCCAAGAAGTAAGGCTATGCTCCGAAAATGATGTAGACACAGGAGTCAGCTTGAAGGACCTTCTGTGGCCAAATCTGGGGCAATATGAGGATCAATCACAATAACGACAGTAATGGATTACAACTCATTGCATAAAATAAGAATCCACAAGTTCATACTGACACCAAAGAAAGGGGAATATTAACAAATGTAAAAGAAATGTTTGACCTGATTGTTTATAGTTCATAATGCGTGATCAAAACCGAAAGTTTCTGTGATATGACTGCCCTTGCACTGTTCACCATGTAAGAACTTGTTCACCATGTAGAAACTTGTTCATTATGCTTCAGAAGATTGGAGACTGTTGAGAATTAGGCTTGGGGTTGATTAGTGATTGTACATTGAGTCCCCTATACAGAATTTTATTGTTGTTAACAACCATTTGATCAATAAATATGAGAGATGCCCTCTCAAAATAAATAAATAAATAAATAAAAGAAATGGTGGCTTTAGATAACTATCATTTGCAACCATCTTTGCAAAAATTGATTCAAGTCACTGATTTCAACTAAAAATCATTAATGGATGTGTGGGTGGAAGTTGATGAAGAATGAGAAAGTACACCTTGAAATTTTTTCCCACAGAGTATTCATTACAAATGGGAGAAATGGTAACTTTCCAGTGGAGAAACCTGCTGCGCTAAGTTAATATCACTAAGAACAGGACACGTTCCTCCCAGTATAATGCACCAAGGACACATCCATGAAGTCATGTTCCTGCCCAGACCACAATCCCCAAATCTAGTGGTAAAACCTATCAGACAAACGCAAAGTGAGAGAGACTCTAACACAACTGGCCTGTGCTCCTCAGGAGCGGCAAGAATGTCAAAGTTATGAAGGATAAAGAGAAAGGCTGAGAAACAGATGCCAGATTAAAGGAGCCTGAAAAGAAGTAAGTGGACGGGGGTGGGCAGGGGGCGCCAGGGGGCTTTGACAATCAAATGCTGTGATGACCCTGGACCTGCATCGTGACCTGCTCTCTAGCACCTGTTCTTTGTGGATAAGATTCCCTGGGGTTCCTTTCATGACTGCAGAGCTGTGCCCCTCGGCTGTATATCCAATTTGTTAATATTCAGATATACACACGGATATGTGGTGCCAAGACACGAGGAATGCTTCATCTGCCTGGCCACATCTGGGCTGAAGGACAGCGTGTCTCCAGGCGTGTCCTGGAGTGATCAACAGTTCTGAGTCGATGGTGAGGGTTCCCTTTGGAAGTTCACTGATGAGAGGAGCCTGGGTGTTGCGGATCAACTGCTGGGGGTGGGGGGGTGGCCCACAGCCACCCTGTGGGCGCCACTTCCTGCTTCCTGGGGTGGGCCTGGAGCTGTGGTGTGGCGTGGTATGGGGGGGTCACTGTGGAGAGGAAGGAGGCCCAGGCTCCATGCAGCTGCAGTGAAGGCCAGCAGAGGGAGGGAGGGAGTGAAACAATGTTTAATAACCTTGCCTGAAGTTCATCCTACCTCAGTGACCACACCGCTTGGATGGGCAGTCTGGGCTGGGTGTGGGACCCTGCCTGCTGTCAGCCTGTGCCCCTCAAACACACTGCCTCATGCTGGCTGCAGTATGCACGTCCCAGTAATGACTCCAGTCCATCAGACCCCGGCTTTAGGAGGGGACTCTGGGCCCACAGCCAGGCGAGGGCCAGCAAGGGACATGGGAGGGAGACTTGGGAGCAAGGAGAGGTGATATGGGGGCGCCAGGGAGGGGCAGGAAGGTTGAAGATGACAGTCCAGTGTCCAGCAGAGCCCTGGGGGTGGGCAGGAAGTTCACAGGTGAATCTGCACCAGGTAGCGCAGGCGGCACTGACTCTCCAGGTAGATGAGATACTCGCTCTGGGAGAAGCTGGAGCTGCTGAATTCCGGGCAGGGCATGGGCTGGCCCTGGGGCACTGCCACTTGCTGGCCATCCAGCTCCAACACCATGTCCTGGGTTGGGTCTGCAGGGCACAGCAAGGGCCATGGGTGACCCAAGGGTCCTAGGTTACCAGGATGGCCTGCCTGCCACGCTCTCCACTTCTGCCACAGGGAATGCTTGCCCATTCCCACCTTCCTGGTCTCCAAAACGCTGCGCAGCCTGGGCCTTCTGCCTGGAATATCCTCTCTCATTCTTGTCTGGGAAATGCCTACTCATCTTTCCATTATTCAGTGAATGCCACCTCTTTGAAGCCCTCCTGGGTGTCCAGGAATGATTTGTTGAATCAGTAGTTTGTTGAATGACAAAGGGAGGAAGCCAGCTTCGTTTTGTCCTTCTCCACAGCCCCTGCCCTGATACCTCACTCGTTAGTTCAGCCTCACCTCTATCCTCACGCTGGCCAGCTTCTCAGGACTCACCGGGCTCTGTGTGGCCCCGGGCGACCACACTGTCGAAGCCAGGGGGTGGCTGCTTCAAGCTGGGCTCGTTGATGGTGATGTGGTGCTCTCTGCCCAGTGCCACCTCCGCCAGGAACATGTAGCCGATGTGGTGCTTCCCGCAGGACATGCCAGTAACTGGGGGACACAGTGAGGCCCCGACGCCTGACTCCCCAGGCCCCTCCGCCGCATTGTCATCCCTTCTGGCTTCACTGCCAGATCCCAGAAACGTGCTGTCTCTTCCTCTGTCCTTCAGGACACCCCCTGGTCCTGCTGTGCTCTCCCTTCTCTCCCAAACCCCAGATGCCCCACTGAGCACTCTGGTCAGTGACTGTCCAAGGGCTACTCTCGAGGATCCACCCCAAGTGGGGCACCACTGGGCCCAGTCCTGCTCTGTGTCCCCACACATGCCCAGCGCAGGGCCCCGGGTGCCTCACCATAGCCAGCTGACTTGCTGTTCTCAGAAGCGAAGTAGATGCCCTTGCCGACACGGCCACCAGAATGCGGCATGATGCGGAGCCCACTGGTGAGGATGGCAGCCACCACGGCCACGTTGGTGCCATGCCACAGCAGCCTCCGGTTACCTAGCTTGGAGTGCACCTGGAACCGTTCTCCCTGTCGGGAGGAGGTGGGACCCAGGAGAGCCATGCCAGGCCAGCTCAAGGGCTGCGTGCTGCTATGCAACCAAGGCCCCTCCGGCCACTCACACACTCTCATGCACATGAGCCCTAAACCGAGGCCTGGCCGAGGCTAAGCACAGTGGCTAAACCGACTCTCTAAGGGACACATAAGCCAGGTCATCTCCCTAAGGGACAAGGCAGTGATCTGGAGGGGGGAACTGGGGCTCTGTCTCACCTCCCCATCTCGGTTCACTTTCCAAACGTGTTGGAGGGCAGGCTGCCGGTACTTGTTTCCAGTTTGTTCTAAGTAGGTCTGTATCACCTGTGGGCGAGCAGAAGCTGGGTGCCAGGGCAGCGGTGTGTGGACAGACCCTCCCTGGTCCCCCAGGGCCCGGAGCTCCCAGCCCCTAGAGACACGGGGAGAGAAGGCTGGGGAGCAAGTCCCTCCCTGGGCACTGGGAGGGCAGACAGGCAGGGCCCTGTGTACCTTGTACTCGGGCTCCTCTGGGCCCAGCCGCTGGAGCTGGCACTTGAGGAGCTGGTAATCTCGGTCCAGTGGGTGCAGAATCTCTTCCGCCTTCTTCACCTGCTCAGGGGTTGCTTGCAGGGTCTGGGCCAGCTCGATGTCCGCCAGCACCTAAAGTGGTGGGTGTCAGGAAGTCCTCCGACTCCCGGCCTCTTCCCCATGATTGGAGCCATAGCCACCCCCCATGCCTCCCTGCTCAACCCCTCACCTACCTGCTGGCCTTCTCCTCCCCTGTCCTCCAGCCTGCCCGTCTCAGCCCATCTCCCTGGGCCTTCTCTTTGGCCATCTGTCCCCCATCTCCCTCACCCAGGTTGTCTGTCCAGTGCCCCCCTACCTGCCCACCCGCCAGCCCTCACCAGCAGCATGTCCTTCTTGGCCTGCAGAAGCTCGGGGGAGTTGATGGGCGGGGGCCGGCTGCGGCCGAAGTTGTGGGGAATGACCGTGTAGAAGTGGGAGGACAGCTCCTCCAGGCTGAGGCCAGCATGTGGGGTGGATTTCAGGGCCGCCTCCAGGGCCTCCAGGGCCTCGAAGCCCCGTGCGATCTGCTGCTTGCTCAGCTTCCCGAGGGGCATCTTCTTCACATCTGGGGGAGAGGGGAGTGGGGAGACTCAGTCCCGCAGCCCTGCCACCCCCAGTCCCCTGCCACCCTGCCTGGCCCCTCCACCCTCACCCAGGTTCATGTGGGCCATGGCACTGTTGAACATGTCCTTGCTGAAGATGTTGGTGATGAGAATCTGCGTGGCTGCGTCCAGGGAGCAGGGCCGCACCCTCTGGGCCACAGTCCTCAGTGGGCCTCCATCCACCTAGGGGGAGAGGGCACCCGAGGGGAGGCTCAGGGTCCCGCATTACACAGAGACTGGCCAGACTAAGGCCAGAGCAGGGAGGTCTGTGCCCGAGGCTGACAGGTGGGCAGTGGCAGAGCCCACAGCTGGCCCCTCCGTCCAGTCCCCTCCCTCAGCCCAGGTCCCGCCATCTCCCTTCACCACAGCCACTTCACCTTCACCACGGCTTCCTGGGTCTCATCCTCTCCCTGCACTTCAATAAGTGTGTACTTGCCGGGGTGGGCCACAAAGTGGTCCCGCTCAGCCCAGCTGTTCTTGGTCTTGTCCCGAAATTTCTTCTCGAAGTCCTTCTTTGCATCCTCCAGTAACACGAAGGAGCTGAGCTTTGACTGGCCCACCTCTCCCTGCAACCAACAGCCTTCAGGAGTGTGCCCACCACACTGCCCACCACAAACATGCGGTGGCCTCTGCTGTGCCAGGCCCAGGCCCTGGGGGCAGGAGGGGCAGGTCAGCAGCTGTGGCCTTTGGGCATGGGTATTTTGTGGAGGCCCTGGGGAGCAGGGGACATGCGCTGAGAAGAAGGGAGGAGGTGGGCCAAGGACGGGAGGTGCCTCTCACCACCCGGCCCCAGCGGTTCCAGCAGACGAAGCGCTCTCCGTCTTGCAGCAGCTGGATGATGTAGAACTTATTGTTGTTACTTCCGATGTTGGTCTGGTTTAGGGTGCAGTCGTAGTCCTCGTGCACCTGGGGCCCGGGGGCACGGGGAGGCAGGTGCTCGAGATGCTCTTGTGGGGGACAGGGTACCTAGCTTCACTCTGCCAGGATCTGCACTATGGGGGATGCAGTCTGAGGGAACATGGCTCAACGGGCACTGGGGGGATGTCTGGGAAGGACATGGTTGCGCCCTGGGTTAGGGAATCTGAGGGTTCTGATTCTGCCCAGGTTCTCACTGGGACACAACCCTGCCCTGTGAGGAATCTCAAGGAGACATGGCCCTATCTTGTGGCACTGGTTTAGGGGATGTAGGTGAGCCCTGGGGGGACTGAGGAGGCTGGAGCCCTGCCTTAAGTGTGGCAGGAGGGGCCTGAGAAGGCTACAGCCCTTCCCCGAGGTCTGAAGATCAGGCATGACTGGGCTGGATCTGATGAAATACAGCCCTGCCTGATGTTGGGGTCCTGGGAGAACACAGCTTACTTGGGAGCTATGAGTTACGTTGTTGGTCACAGCCAAGCCCCCATGGTCAGGGAGCAGGTCTGGGTGCATTTGTATCTAGGAGGAAGGCTCTGAGCCTGGCTGGGCACTGCAGCTTACCTGGGTCCCTGGGCTGTGGCTGAGTGGGCACTGGGGATCCACTCGGACTACACGCTTCTCTGCAGGTGCGGCCCTGAGGGCCTTGACAGTGGAGTGCAAGCTGTCCTCCTCTGCCCCCAGCTGCCCTTTCTTCTTCTCAGAGCCCTCACGCTGCACTGGGAGCTTGCGTTTTGGAGCCATGGCTGTTCTGGGGCACAGAGGGGGCCCTCAGGCCTCTGAGGCCTCTGCACCCCACCTGGATGGTACAGCACTAACTTGCCGCACCTTGGGTTTCCCCTCTGGTGACCTTCCACTGTCTCCCCTGCCTCCATTTCCCCATTCCCAGCTCCAGACCTAAGCGCACTCTGTGCACCCAGATGCACGCCCTTCCCAGCGACAGGGGCCAGGCCAGGACCCTGTCCAGTCTGCCCGCTCTGGTCAAGGAAGAGTGGTTGCCTAGCCCTCTAGCACTCCAGTGTGCAGTGAGGCGGGAGAGAGTGTGCAAGGAGTGGCCGCCCTCCCCCTTCTGGGCCCAGCTCCTCCCAGAGCCATCAGTCTGTTAGGTACTTCCTGCCTGTTCCTCCCTCTCATCTGACGACCTGGCATGGTTACTGGGCTGAGTCACCTCAGCTATGGAGGACAGTGGGCAGTGGCTCCAAGGGCAGCACTACTTGGGGCCAGATCTGTCCCTCCAGAGCTTGGAACTCAGTGGTGCATAACCCTTCCCAATGGACTCAGGGGTTCTGGGGTGCCAGCCAGGGCCCCAGACCAGTGGCTTTGAACCGCAGAGGGCCAGGGCCAGTCCCACCTCACCCCACCCTGCAGAGGGCTCTGGGCAGGGCCATAGGGCACTCACCTAAGAAAAAGCGCAGACCTGGGAGAGGTGGCAGCCCCGAACCTCCCACGGCTGTCCCAGTTCTAGGGCCCCTCTAGCAACCCTCTGCAAGCCTTAGGCGACTTAGGGAGGGACTTCCAGACCGTCGGGGGAGGGAAGAGCTGGAGTCGGGGTGTAGGATTCCAGCTATTTGGCCACTAGTCGGGTGAGTCAGAGGCTGGGCAGGCCGAGGAGGGCAGCCTGTACCATGGATGGGTAGACACTTCCCCGAGACACGGCCAAGGCCAGGGGACAGACGCATCTTTAGCGCGGCTCCTCTGGCACGGGGCATGCAATACGTGCCCATCGGCTGTCCGGTGACCTTGGACCAGGTGCGGGCACTGCCTCCCCCAACACCACCCCCGGGGCTGCCTGGGTCCCCCAGTTATCCAGTGCCAGGCTGGATCACCCTTGTCCCCGCCCCTGACGGGGAGGAGTCAAGCTCCAGGACTCGGAACCCCGCATGTCTGGCGCCCCCCAGCGCCCAAGGGTCGCAGCACAGAGGAGGCCGCCCTTAAAGCGGCCGGCAGCAGGGCGCACGCGCCAAGGCCTTAGGCCGGAAGCGCGGGCGGGAGGCTGGCTTCCTGCCCGAGCGGGGCGCGGGAGCCGATAGGACCTCTGGGAGGCGTGGCCACCGGCACTTACCCTGTGGGCGCTTGGGGGCGTGGCAGGGCCGCCAGAAGGACCCAATGGCGCTGTTGTAGGCGGGGCCGCCGCGGGTGGTGAGCGCCTATCAGGGCTCGGGGCCTGGCTGGGCCGCTCGGCCTGAGCCACCACGTGAGTTCCCCAGGCGTTCTCTGAGCGTGCGGTGGGCAGCATGTCGTCCACAGCGGCGTCTCGGAAGCGGGGAAAGCCGACTTCGGGGGCTGGGGCCGGCAAGCGGCGGCGAAAAGTGAGTAGGCGTTTCCGAAGGCCGGGTCAGTCGCGCTGCCGGGACCACCGTCAGCCCCGGAAGGCCTGGCACTTGTTCCGGGGGTCACCACCTTTCCTAGCCCCGCGGCCCTCGAGAGCCTGGAAGGGGTTAGTGCTGGCGTGGCCGGGTCCCCTGACCAAAGAAAGGGTCTTCTAATTCCCAGGCCAACTCTGCCGGGGACAGGGGCAAGGCCAAGAGTGGCGGCAAGATGAATGAGGAGATCCCCAGCGACTCTGAGAGTGAGAGGTGAGCCCTTCTTTTCCACCAAGTAAAAGGGAACCCTTGAGGTCCCTGGTGTATGGGACCGAGTCGGGACAGAGCTGGGCATGGAGCCCAGGACCTCTGCCCTTGGCTCTCAGGTCTCTCCTCTCCAGAGGGAGACCAGTGAGACCTCCCTGGAGCATGGCAGGGAGCTGAGCACAGGCTGGACTGAGTGGCAAGGGGAGAGGGGCTCAGACATGCAGGCTGGCTCTTCATTCTGTTTTCCATTCACCGCTCCCCCCGTCTCTCAGCGTACGCCAGGCACTGGCTTCACAGTGCGAGTACAGAGATGAGCAGGCGGGTGAAGACTGGGATGTATAACTTACAGCTCTGTGTTTCAGGAACAGAGGAGGAGGCATTTATATAGGGCCTGGAGAGATAAGGAGTCCCTTACAGAGAGGTAGTGAAGGCATTCAGGGATCAGGAGAAGAGTCTGGGCTTTAAGTGTGCCAGAGTGGGAGATGGAGAAGATGGAAGGCCACCGGAGGTACTGTACAGATTGTGGAGGACAGGCGACAGGCGGGGGATGTGACAGGGTTTCAGAGAGGGCTTGCAAGGTGTCAGGCCTGACCCAGTGGAATGGAAGCTGTCATATCAGGGAACTCTGGTGCCTTCTTTAAGAGTTGGCTTTAGAAATTCTGCTCTAAAATTGAGGACATGTTGGCTTCATCCTGCTCAGAGAAAGACCTAGTATGTGTCCTTACTTCCACCTAGGGTTGTGGGTGTGTATGTGTGTCAGGCCCTGTGCTAAGCACTTTTAAATATTTTTTAAGTGGGTTGTGAAACATGTTATTAAATAGAGAAGAGTTTGTGAAATGTGCTTGTACTTGTACTACGGAGAGTAGTGGTGGATTGCTGAGCCTCTGTGCACACAGCACATATGTGAAGAATTCGCCCGTTTGCAGAAACTTAGAAGCCCGACCTGCCATTCCTGACTTGAGTCCATCATTTCTTTGGTTTTCTTCCCGCATTTTTCTTCTTCCTTTTTTTTTTTCATTTTCTCATTCAGATATAATTTATGCAGAGTAATAGTCACCTTTTTTAGCAAACAATCTGTGAGTATATGGACAGATGCAACCAGTCGTGTAACCACCACCGTTAGGAAGATACAGAAGCATTTCATCACTGTCCAAAATCCCTCTGCTCCTTTGTAGTCAGTTTTCCCCCCTCCCTCAGCCCTTGATAATTACACCCCCTAGCGTTTTGCCTTTTCCATAATGGCACAGGAGTGGAATCATACTTGGGTACTTACATTGGTTTTCTTTAGAGTTCTGCCTCCTGTGTGACAGATGGATGGGTTTGCAAGCTGAGTACTAGTTCCAAGGCTGGCTGTGTAAGGCCGGGGCAGCGCCAACCCTGGAGGCATGCTGCACTGGGGACTGAATGGTCTTCTTGAGAGTTTCCAGGGTCCCTTCTGGAAAGTCGTGGGCAGCGTTATGAATGAGTCCTGGCAGATAGTTGGGGCTAGGGGCAGGGACTAGATAGCTATCCCCAGGCACGTGATCCGAGGGACCGGGCTCCCCTGGGTTTTCCGCTCCTACCTCCAGCTCCCAGGAGCAAGTCAGAGGAGGACTCAGCTTGAGTGAAGGGAGGGTGCTCAGCTGGTCCAGGGACTGGCATGGAGGGGAAAACAGGAACGTCACCAGCACGAGGTCAAGCCAAGGTCACCGGGAGCCCTGTCCTCGGGGTTGAGGATTTTGCCACTATTGCCACAGCAGCGAGGCTGGGGCAGTGGCTGTCCCGGTGTGTCTGCCTCTTGGGGCCTTGCCTTGAATCTGGACTGGCTGCTCCTCTGGGTCTGGGGTGCTTATTCTGGGATCTGCTTTTCTGCTTTCCGTGTTGGGGCTCCTGTTTCCTGTCTCCCAGGCCTTTCTCATTCTTAGCTTACCCTCTTGTTCGGGGAGCACATCCTCCAACCTTTAAAGAAGTTAGAAAGGACCGTTCTGTGGCTCCATGTCCATCTGATGATATCTTTTCTCGTCATTAATGGTTTAACTGGCACGGCATCTCCCTTCAGAATTTTGTGTGTGTGGCTCCTTTGTGTCCTTGCTGTCAGCGATGCTGTTGAGACATCTGAAGCCATTTTGATTCCTGACCCTTTGTGCATGACCTGATTTTTCTGGGAAGCCTGTGGAGTTTTCTCTTCCCCTGTTGAGAGAGCTCACAGGGATCTCTTTGGATTTGGGGTCTGTTTTCGCTCTTGTGTCCAGCACGGGGGCCCCTGTGGTGTGGTGAATCTCGTCCTGGTTTCTGTGTGTGTGATCACTGGACGTGGGGCTGCTGGGGACGGGGCGTTGAATGGCGGGTGGAGTGGTGCAGAGCCTCAGGCCCAGAGGCCAGAGGAGCAGGGTGAGCCCCTCACCCCCTGCCCACAGTGTGGCTCCCAGGAGGACTGAGGAGGAGGAGGAGGAGGAGGAGGAGCTGGAGGAGACGGCGCAGGAGAAGAAGCTGCGCCTGGCCAAGCTCTACCTTGAGCAGCTCCGGCATCAGGGTGAGCCCAGGGGCAGGACGGGGGTGGGGGAGCCTGCACCCAAGCTGCCTGCTGCAGCCTGGCCACCCGCTGGGTGAGTGACGCAGGTGCCCAGTGGGCCGCCCTGTGGGAGGGTGGCTTGGGGCCCTCCTGGGCCTCCTGGGCCAGACCTTCGGGGGGCTGTAGACTGACCTGATAAGTAAAGGCTGGGTAGGATAGGAAGGGAAAAGTGAGCTCCGGCCTGGGTCTACCTGGTCTGGTCTGTCCTATGCAGAGGAGGAGAAGGCTGAGGCCCGGGAATTTGAAGAGGACCAGGTGGCAGGGCGCCTGAAGGAGGATGTGGTGAGCACGGAGGGAGGGTTGGGGGGTGTTGGGGGTTTGTCCTGCTCCTGGGAGCTCATCCATCTTCTCCCCATGCAGCTCGAGCAGCGGGGCAGGCTGCAGAAGTCGGTGGCAAAGGAGGTGAGTGGGCCGGCACTTTGGTGTAAGATCAGAGGGAGTGGGGGTCCCACCTGGGGACTCAGGCTGTGGGCACTTGGGCAGACGGGACAGGTGAGGATCTGGTCCTCGCAGACCTCGGTTCAGTTTTCCTCCTGGGCAGGGTGGTGAGAAAGGATGGTGTGGGTGATGGGGGTAGGTGTTGGACGTGTGGGTAGGGGTGCCTTTCTGTCTCCATCACAGTGACCCTGGCCCTACCTGCCCAGGTCCAGCCCCCAGCCCCCTCCGACATTCGAGTCTTACGGGGCCACCAGCTCTCTATCACGTGCTTGGTCATCACCCCCGACGACTTGGCCATCTTTTCTGCCGCCAAAGACTGCACCATCATTAAGTGTGAGTGAGTGCCTGGGTGGGTGGCAGCCCCCAGGGCTCACCCAGGGGGGCTGTGCTGGAAAGGAGGGAGTAATCCGGGAAACAGGCCTGGTGGGGGGAGGCAGGTTCGCTCTCAAAGGGGTGTTTCCTGGGTGACAGTGGGAGCTTCTGCCCAGGAGGGGGTCTCATGACCTCCTGTCACTGTCACTGGGGACAGCTGAGCAGAGGCAGGAGGTGATTGAGTGAGGTTGACGCTGCAGGTGGGCAGGTGGCCCCGGGCACGCGTTCCTGGTCCTCCCACATTCCCACCTTCGGTGGCTGGGCTCACGCGCCTCACATGCCTCACACCCTCAGTCCCAGGGCACTCTTCTGTCCCTTTTCTTCTGGGCTCCATGGCTGCCTTTTGGGATTTTTGTCCCCACTGAACAGATGAGGAAACTAAGGTGACTTGTCCAGGGGCTTTCAGTGGCAGTCAGATCTTCTGACCTGTGGCCAGGACTTTGTATGGCCTGTGCTGCCCTTGAGGGGGTTGCCCGCCAGTCCCGTGCTCGCCCCCAGTAGCCTTTCTCTTCTTCTGGCGTCAGGGAGCGTGGAGAGTGGACGGAAGCTTCATGTAATCCCACGAGCCAAGAAGGGCCCCGAGGGGCAGCCCCCTGGCCACAGCAGCCACGTCCTTTGCATGGCCGTCTCCTCCGACGGCAAGTACCTTGTAAGGCAGGGTTGGCCCCAGGGTTGGGGAGGAGGTCTGGGCATGCAGTGGGCGCCTGTGGCCACTGTCCTCATGCTCCCAGGCCTCAGGTGACCGCAGTAAGCTGATTCTCATTTGGGAGGCCCAGAGCTGCCGGCACCTCTACACCTTCACGGGACACCGGGATGCTGTGTCGGTGAGGAGCTGGGCCTGCTTTGCTTGGATGTCTGTCCACTACCTGAGTGGGCTAGGCGTGCTGCTGGCTCTGGGGCATGGGGTGAATGAGGCTGATGGTCCCCGTCCTCAGGGCGCCTGTGCCTTGGTGCCATGAGTGACACTGCCGGGGACACGAATGGGGTGGGGGGCGGGGAAGCCGAGCTTGCCTGGGGAGCAGGGAGCCTCTGAGCCTCTGAGGACCCTGCAAGTGCTGGAGGTGAGGAGCAGGCCACTGGCTCCAGAGAGCACACAGGTGCCCCCGCGTGCCTCTCTGCGCCTCTGGCTTGCTTTTCAGGAAGTCCTCTGGGCCTGCCTTTGTAGGCTGCTGCAGTCAGTTCCCCTAGTCCTCTCTCTGTGCACCTGTAGGGGCTGGCCTTCCGCAGGGGCACCCACCAGCTGTACAGCACATCCCATGACCGCTCCGTGAAGGTGTGGAATGTGGCCGAGAACTCCTACGTGGAGACGCTGTGAGTGCAGGGGTTGGCTGGGCTGGCGGGAGGGCATGTACACGGGTTCGTGTGTGAGCCATCCTCCCTCCACCTGCTCCAGCTTTGGGCACCAGGACGCCGTGGCTGCGCTGGACGCCCTGAGCAGGGAGTGCTGCGTGACGGCCGGCGGCCGGGACGGGACAGTGCGTGTGTGGAAGATCCCTGAGGAGTCCCAGCTTGTTTTCTATGGCCACCAGTAAGGCGGTGTGCTGTGCCGGGCGGGGCTGGTGCGGAGGGCCATGCCCCACACTGCTGCGGCCCCCTCACCACTCCCGTCCCCAGGGGCTCCATTGACAGCGTCCAGCTGGTCAACGAGGAGCACATGGTGTCCGGCGCAGACGATGGGTGAGCGCTGCCTTCATTGCCTCCCACCCTGGCCCCGCGCTGCTTTGCACACCCCCGCCCCTGTGCCCGAGCTATTGTAAGCCCTGTCCATAGATGAGGACACGGGCAGAGAGCTTGGGGAGCTTGTTGCCATTCCATGGCTGGTGTGGCCCTTCTGCGCTGCTCCTGGCCCCTCGCTGACGGCATCCCTGTCCACAGCTCCGTGGCCTTGTGGGGTCTCTCCAAGAAGCGGCCACTTGCCCTGCGGCGTGAGGCACACGGGCTGCGGGGGGAGCCGGGCCTGGAGCAGCCCTTCTGGGTGACATCAGTGGCAGCCCTGCTCAACACGGACCTTGTGGCTACAGGTGGGCGCCCGGCAGAGAGCAGGGGGTGGCAGGTGGGTGGGCAGGTGCCGGGTGCTCACCGCTCCCTGTCCCCCAGGCTCCCACAGCTCCTGCCTGCGGCTCTGGCAGTGTGGGGAGGGCTTCCGGCAGCTTGACCTTCTCTGCGACATCCCCCTGGTGAGTGAGGCTTGAACGTGCAACCCGTCTTTGCCACCCTCCGGCACCCCTGGAGCACGTGGCCCCTGGAATTAGCCTTTTATCTTTTCTTTCTGCCAGAAGGGAGGTTCCTCAGGACAGGACCAGCTGTGACTTCTCTTGTTCATAGTCCAGCTCCTGGCACAGAGCCTGACAAGAGCCCTCTGCTCCCTTTTCCTCTTCCTCCTGCCCTTCCTCACCCCATTCCTGTCCTAGGCCCTGGCCTGGGTGCAGGGGCACAGGCAGGGAGCACCGTGGACAAAGGAACAGAGGGCATGCCACCATTCATGGCAGGTGCCAGAGTGATACCAGGCCGGGGTGTGTGGTCTTGGTGTGACCACGGGGGATCGTTGGTGATGTCCAGTGATATGCAGGGCCTGGCTCAGTGCTGGTGGTTGTGGGGTCTGCAGGGCCCCACAGCCAGGAGCCAGGCCCCAGGCCCCCCAACATGCTCGGTGCACAGACTCACTGCAAGGCTGGCGCTCTCTTCCCCCATCTCACAGATGTGGATGGAGGCTGAGGCCCTGAGGGGTGGAGGGCAGGCCAGGTGGCAGGAGTCAGAGCAGGAATTTACCCAGGCCTGGTAGGGCCAAGCCCTGAGGCTGGGTCTTGGGGGTGCAGTTCTCACATCCCCTTTCGGCCGTCCCTCTCCTCAGGTGGGCTTTATCAACAGTCTCAAGTTCTCCAGCTCTGGGAACTTCCTGGTGGCTGGGGTGGGACAGGAGCACAGGTAATGGGCACTCTGGAGGGGTGAGGGTGGGCAGGCTGGCGTAGGGTAGGGAGGCCGCTGGGTAGGGAGGGGGTGTGGGCTGTGCTGGGCCTCAGCTGCCCCTTCTGCCCCTGCAGGCTTGGCCGGTGGTGGCGGATCAAAGAAGCTCGGAACTCGGTCTGCGTCATCCCACTCCGCAGGGCCCCTAGGCCCCCCACTGCCGGCCCCTGATACTCCCACCCCCTTTATTTAAGTCTTCCCGGGCCAGGTCCCCTCTCTTTGTATTAAAATCCTCCTGTTTTGGGCCTTGTGTTCTGCAACTTCTTGGGAGGGGAGGAAGGGATGGCAGGGCTGTGGGTTGGCATGGCTGGGGAGGGACAGGGCTCTCCCGGTCTCAGTTCTGCCCCTCAGCTGGCATGAGGACATTTTATCCTTTTCCAAGGAACTTGGAGATGGAGACCTCAGCTGACTCCTGGCTTCCGGTCCCTGAGTATCCTGTCACCTCATTAGGTCAGGTCTCCATTCACTGCTCTGGGCTGATTGGGGTCAGAAGCTGCTCATGTCCACTAGGAAGCCACAGCTATCCAAATGTGTGTAAGGGCCGGCTGTGGGACCTGAGAGCTGAAGTGCACAGCCAGCCTCTCAGTCGGGCTGACCTGCCCCACCTGGCAGCCCAGGTCTGGAAGCTGAGGGACGGACAGCCCCCTGGGGGGCGGGGGCTGGCACTGCTTCCTGCCTGGGCACTAGTGTCAGAGTTGGGAGTCTCCGGCCTCCTGCCACCTGGTCCAGAGGACAGCCAGGCTGTGTGAGCCATCACAGGAGCCATCCTTCTGGGTCAACGTGTCAAAGGCGTGCTCAGTTCTCCTCATTTTACCAGTAATTCTGTCCTGCCATGGAGCAGAGCCAGAGAGGAGGTGCTGAGGACAGTGAAGTCTTGGTAGGAAGTGAGAAGGGAATGCTGAGGAATTGGCTCTCACCTTTCCCCTAACCCCCCGGGCCCACCAGCCGAGCCTGCGGTTCCTGGGGCGCAGGGCGGTCTCATGGAGGAAGCCCCAGAACTCCCGTCCTGCCCCTGTGCTCAAGGCCTGCCACTCAGGCAGACCATTCCTGCCTTCATTCTCCTGGGGCCCAAGGGGTCGGGTTCGGATGTGAGCCCTGAGATCCTGTTATGGATCAGATATTAGTAGTCACTCCTCATGTCTGTGTTAACTTGAGCTCAGCAATGGCATACACATACCTGCCGAACCATGTCGCAAGCACCGCAGAAATGCACCTTAACATATGAACATTGCCAGGCAGGAAAGTGTTTGAGAAAGAGTGCCTTTGGAAGCGAAACAAATTTCTCCTGTGGCTTCTTTTCTCAGCCTTGGTCAGCTGAGAATTCCTTGCTGTACTTGAGCTATTTGTTTTCAATTTCAGTAAAACACAAAATATGCCATCCTCACCATTTTTAAGCGTACAGTTCCATAGCGTTAAGTGCATTCACGTTGTTGCGCAGTGGAGCTCCAGGACTTTTTTCATCTTGCAAAACTCCATCTTAACCCCCAGCCTCTGCCCTGCCTCTGGGAATTGCCATTCCACTTTCTGTCTTTGCTTTTGCTGACATTAGGTACCTCATAGAAGTGGGACCACAAAGTATTTGTCTTTTTGCAACTGGTTCATCCAGGTAGCAGGTGTCTGGATTTCCCTGTTCTGGCCAAGTAATATTCCATTGCTTGTTTTCACCACATTTTGCGTATCTGTTCATCCATCAGTGAACATGGGGTTGCTTCCAAGTTTTAGCTACTGTGAATAATGCTCCTGGGAACATAGGGGCACCAATGTCTCTTTGGGATGCTGCTGCCTTTTTTGGGGTATACGCTCAGAAGTGGAATTAAGGGATCATGTGGTAATTCTGACATTCATTTTTTGAGGAACCTCCATACCATTCCACAGTAGTTGTACCATTTTTCATTCCCACCAACAATGTGGTTTGCAATTTCTCCACATCCTTGCCAACACGTTTTGTTTTTCATTTTCTATTTTTATTTTTTGATAGTAGCCATCCTAATGGGTGTGAGGTGGTACCTCATTTTGATTTGCACTTCCTAAATGGTTAGTGGTGTTGAGAGCATCTTGTCGTATGCTGATTGGCCATTTGTGTATCTTCTTTGGAGAAATGTCTTCTCAAGTCCTTTGCCCTTTTGTGAATCAGGTTGGTTGCTTTTTGTTGTTGATTGAATATATCCTCTTTGGTGTTTGCTGAAGTTCTTGAATCTATAAATGTATGCCTTCTAAATTTTGTAAGCTTTTAGCCTTTACCTTTTTTTCAGGAGAAATTTCCACCAATTTCTCCTTTTCTGGGACTTGAATAGTGTAAATGTTAGACCGTTTGATATGGTTCCATAGATTGCTGAGGCTCTTTTTATTTTTTTTTCCAATATTTTTCCTCAGTTCAAATGATCTGATTTCTATGGCTTTGTGTTCAAGCTCACTGACTGTATCTCTGTCATCTCCATTCTGCTAATGAGTCTGTCATTGAATTCTTAATCCAGGTATCGTATTTTGCGGATATAAAATTTCCATTTAGTCCTTTTTTTGTTTTAGTTCTTAATCTCTTCAGAGAATCCCTCTTTCCATTCATTTAGAAAGAGTTCAGCTTTTCCTTATGGATAATGGTTATCATAACTGCTTAAAGTCTTGATGGCCGTTTTCCCTGAGAATTCATCAGATTTTCCTGGCTCTTCACATACTGAGTGATTTTGGATTGTATCTTGGATGTTTCCTCCAGCCAAGGAGACAATGGCAGTGTGGCTGTGTGCCTTCACGTGGGGGGCAGGGTCTGGGAGAAAAAAGAAAAACACAAAAGAAGGGAAGAAAGGGATGTTGTCCACAGCCTCTTGCTCAAGGAGGTGTCTTCTTCTGATCCTCTGGTGAAATAGAGGGGCTTTCTCTTGGGTTAGTTGCTGTCCACATTTGTACAGTTCTGCGTTTGGGGCTGCCCTCGACTTTGACCTGGAAACTGGAATGATTGCTCAAGGTTTGACTTTCCCAGCCCGCCTGCTCTGGGCTTCTCAGCGTCTGCATGCCCTGGTAGCCTCCGCGGAGTTTCCATTCATCGTCATTGGGAAAGATGTTACCTTAGCTTCAGGTGTACCACAGGCTGATTCAGTCCTTCTGTCTTATGAAATGATCACCAACGTCTAGTTTACCACCCATCACCACACAGTGACATAATTTTTTGTGTGTGCTGAGAACTTTGAGGATTTACTCTCTTAGCACTTACAAATATGCACAGGCAGTATTTACTATACTCGCCGTGCTGGAAAGTAGGGAATGCTTCACCACTTTGTGTGTCTTTCTTGAGCAGAGGCCATGCTAAATCTTGGAATTGTTCCAGTTTTAGTACATATGTTGCCCAAGCAAGCATCCTAGTCTGTGACTTTAAAAAATGCTGTCTTTTGACAAACAGTTTTAATTTGGATGAAGTCCAGTCTATCAATATTTTATTATTAGTGCTTTCTCTGTCCTGTAAAAGAAGTCCAACCCCAAGGTCACAAAATAATTCTCAGGAGTTTTCTTCTAGGAGCTTTAGTTTTTATTTAGGTCCACGATCCATCTTGAACCTTTTTTTTTCTTTTTTTTTTTTAGTCTATGATGTTTAATGGAGTCAAGATTTTTTTTTTCCCATTGAAAAGTGCATTTCCTTTCTGCATTGAATTATCTTGGTACATTAAAAAAAATCAATAGGCTGTGTAAATGTGAGTCTATTCCTGGCTTCTCTGTTTCACTGATTTATTGTCTCTTGCACTGAAAACCCACTGTCTTGATTACTGTAAAAAAAGTTACAGTAAAGTCTTGAAATCAGATAATGTAACTAGTTCAGCTTTGTATTTCTGTATCATGAGTTTCCCAACTGTTCATTGATGTTTAGCAATATGGTTGATTTTTGCATAATGCCCCTGTATCTTTCAATTTTGGGGGTGTTTTTTATTTTTAAACTGCTTTATTGGGATATAATTCACATGCCATACAATTCACTCAGTTAATGTGTGTAATTCAGTGGTTTTTAGTATGTTCTCAGATGTACAAAATACACAAGGGGCATCATGCATGCTTGCTAATAAATTCCCTTATTCTAGTAGTTTTTTTTTTTTTAGTTCTAGTAGTTTTATGGGCGGATTATTTTGGATGTTTTTATGTACATAAGCATGCTGTATGTGAATAACACGTAATTCTTTTCAAATATTCTAGGAATATTAATTTTACTTCCTTGACTTATTACATTGGCTAGGATCCTCAGTACATTGTTAAATAGAGGTGATGAGATCAACCCCTTTTGTTTTATTTCCATATCTTTATTTTTGAAGGTTATTTTCTCTGAGTATAGAATTCTAGGTTGACTTTCTCCCCATTTCTTTAGCACTTTACAGTGTCACTTCATTTTCTTCCGGCTTCCATTTGTCTCTGATGACAAGTCATTTAGCATTAAGATTTTTCTTTCCTTAAATGTAATGCAACTTTTTCTCTGATTTCTTTTTATCTTTTTCAGCAGTTTCACTGTATTGTACCTATATGTGGTTTTATTTGTATTTATCATGTTCATAAATTTTTTGACTTGCCTTTGAGCTTAATATTCCTTTCTTTTGTTAACCTAGCCAGTGAATTATTTCTTTTGGATATTGTATTTTTCAGTTTTAGAATTTCTACTTCTTTTGTTCTTTTTTTTTTCTAAGAGTTTCCATTGGTCTGTTGAAGTCCTCCTCCTTTTCACTTATTTTGTCTGTTTTTTCCTCTGCATTCTGTATCCATATTTTTTATACTAGTTATTTACTAGTCCTCATCTGCTAATTCCAACATATGAGTCATCTGTGGGTCTGCTTCTACTGATTTTTTTCCCCCTTTTGATTGCAGGTCACATTTTGCTACTTCAAGTATCTCATGTTTTAAATTGTATACCAGACACTGGATAAAAGCAGTAGAGATTGAGGTAGGTCATTTTCAACATATCAGGAGTTCAGCTGGGGTGGGGCTGGGTTGCATTTTATTTAGTTTTCATCCACCTCTGTTTCAAATGTCTTGAGGGTGGGATAAGAACCCTGTGTTGACAAGGACCGTGGAATCTTAGCGTTGTGAGACTCTTAGAGATTTCTGTCTGTGGTCCAGCTCAGCCTCCAGCTCTGTGCTGTGCTGCAGACCCAGTTCCATGGAGGGAATGTGGACGGCGGGATGCTCACCCTGTGGGGTCCCCTGGAGCTGGGTCAGCCCGACAGCTCATCCGCAGCCGTCGACAGTCGAGCTGCTGCTCTCTTCCACCGGCAGCTTCCCTCTATCTGGCCGGCTCACCCCTCCATGTCCTGTGTCCAGAAACTCGGCACATCTCCACTGGCATGGAAGCAGCCACCAACCTCTGGGCAACTCAAAAGGGACAAGCTCGTTCTGGAATTTAGTTCATTTAGACTTGTTTTTTCTCTCTAGCTTTATTGAGGTAAAATTCACATTTGCATTTAAAGTGTACAACATGATTTGATAAAAGTCGACTTCATGAAATGGTGACCACCATCACGGTGTTTAACACAGGCATTACCTTACATACTTAAACCATTTTTCCTGTGTGTGGTGAGAATGCTTAATATCTACTCTTCCAGCAAATTTCCGGTCTACATACAGAATTACTGCTTTGTGCTGGTCTCAGTCCATCAGTAGTAATGCTCTGGGCTGGAAATGCCTGGGGACGCCTACCTGGGCACAAAGCTTCCCATAGCAGCTCCCCTTTCCAAACAGCTCTTACAGTTGGAGTCACTCTGTTCCTACTGTGACTGCAAGATGCCCTCGGCAGTGGTCATTAGGAAACTTTGATGTGAAAAAAGAGTTTAAATTACTTACAAGCCCAGGAACAGACTCTGCATGTCCGGGCACAAAAGCCGTCTGACAGAAGAGAGAGAGAACAGGCTGGGGGTTCTGCCTTTATTTGGGTCAAGGGTGGGGGCCTAGGGGCTGGTGGGCTTTCTATTGGTGAATTTAAAGCAAAGAATGAAACTTTGAAGCGCACGAAGGAAAAACAAATGGCCCAGATAGTTAGTGTAATCAGCTAAGATCCTGAAACGGGGGCTCGGGGAAGACGGCCTTGGCCTTAGCCTAGCCGTGCGGCTGGCCGCAGTGTGTTTATTCCAGCTGCCTTTGCTGATGCGGATGCCTCATTAATTCAAGCTTAAGTCAGGCACTTTCATTAAAAAAACAGAAGCCCGCTGTCAAGGCTTATACTGCGGTTATTAACTAGAGTCACTATGCCGTCCGGTAGATCCTCCGAATGTATTCCTTTTATGGTGGCAGGCTTGTCTCCCTTGACCAGCCTCTCCCTCTGGCACTGGTAACCAACATCCTGCTGCTTCTCAGGGTTCACTTTTTTTTTTTAGATTCCGCATATAAGACAGACCATACAGTATTTGTCTTTCTCTAATTTATTTCACTTAGTATCATGTCCTTCAGGCTCACATTGTTGGAAGTAGAGGGATTTCCTTTCTCGTGACTGAATAATATTCCAGTATCTGTTTATGTATGTCCATCTGCCTATCACCTCTTCTTTATCCATTCGTGTGTTGATGCACACGTTGGCAGACGTGAGAAATGCTGCAGTGAACACGGGGCTGTAGGTGTCTGATTTCAGAGAGTCATTTCATCTTTGAATACATACCTGATTGTGGGATTACTGGAGCCTGTGGTAGTTGCATCTTTTACTTTTTGAGGAATCTCCATACTGCCTTTCATAGTGGCTGCACCAATTTACATTCCCACGGACAGTGTACAGTGGCTGCCTGTTCTCCACATCCTCACCAATGCTTGTTATTTCTCGTCTTGTTGATAGGGGCCACTCTGCCTGGTGTGAGGGGGTATCTCGCTGTGGCTTTAATTTGCATCTCCCTGATGGTTAGTGGTATTGAGCAGCTTTTCATCTACCTATTGGCCATCTGTATGTCTTCTCTGGAAAGATGTCTATTCAGGTCCTCTGCCTGTTTTTGAATCAGGTTATTTATTATTTTTGCTATTGAGTTGTATGAGTTCTTTACATATTTTAATGCTAATCCCTTACTAGATATATAATTTGCAAGTATTTTCTCCCAGTCCTCAGGCTGTCTTTTCATTTTGCTGATGGCTCCTATGCTGTGCAGAAGCTTTTCAGTTTGATGTGGTCCTACTTGTTGATTTTTGCTTTGGTTATTTGTACTTTTGGTGTCATATCCAAAAAGTCATTGCTAAGACCAATGTCAAGGATCATTTTCCTGTATTATTTCCTAGGAGTCTAGGTTTCAGGTTTTGCATTTAAAGGCCTTAATCCATTTCAAGCTTATTTTTGTGAGTGGTGTCAGGGGTCCGATTTTACTCTTTTGCTTGCAGCTGTCCGGTTCCCCAGCACCATTTATCCAGGAGACTACCCTTTCTCTGTTGCATATTCTCAGCTCCCTTGTCAAATATTAATGACCGTGTATGTGGGGGGTTATCTCTGGGCTCTTAATTCTGTCCATTGGTCTGTGTGTCTATTTTTATTTTACTGAACCCATACCATTTTGATTAGTCTAGATTTGTAATATAGTTTGAAGTCAAGGTGTGCGATGTTTCCAGCTTTGTTCTTTTTCAAATTTGCTTTGGCTATTTGGGGTCTTTTAAAAGACCTCATGGTACTGTATGAGCTTAAGGATTTTTTTTTCCTATTTGTCTGAAAAAGGCATTTGGAACTTTGATTGGGATTGCATTGAATCTTTAGATGGATTTGGGTGGTATGGACATTTTAACAATATTAACTCTTCTAAATCATGAATGTAGGATATCTTTCCATTTATTTGTGTCTTCAGTTTCTTTCGTCAATGTCTTATAGTTTTCAGTGTATAGATTGTTCACCTCTTTGGTTAAATTTATCCCTAATGTTTTAGTAAATGTGATTTTCTTAATTTCTTTCTTATAGTTTGTTTTTACTATATAAAAACACAACTGACTTTAGTGTATTGACTTTATATCTTGAAACTTTACTGAATAAATTTATCAGGGCTAATAATTTTTGGTGGGGTCTCTAGGGTTTTTTATATTTGCATCATGTTTTCGTGAATAGAGATAATTTTATTTCTTCCTTTCCAATTTGGATGCCTTTTATTTCTTTTTCTCACCTACTTGATCTGGCTTGAACCTCCACTACTATAATTGAATAGGAGTGGTGAGCGTGGGCACCCGGTCTTGTTCCTAATCCTAGAGGAAAAGCTTTCAGCTTGTCACTGTTTTGATGTTAGCTGTGGGCTTGTCATATACGGCCTTTATTATGTTGAGGTACATTTCTTCTCTACCAAATTTGTTGAGAGTTTTTACCAGGAGAGGATTTAAAATTTTGTCAAATGCTTTTTCTGTATGTATTGAAATGGTCACGTGCTTTTTATCCCTCATTCTGTTAACAGGTGCATCACATGTATTGATTTACGTATGTTAAACCTTCCTCACATCCCAGGGATACATCCCAGCTGGTTTTGTATATGATCCTTTTAATGTGCTGTTGAATTTGGTTTGTTAGTGTTTTGTTGAGGACATCAGCCTGTATGTTCTCCAGGGATGCTGGCCTGTGGTTCTCCTTTCCTGTCGCGTCCTCCCCTGGCTATGGTGTCAGGGCGATTCTGGCTTTCCGTTTCAGCATTTTCTGTAAGGCTGGTCTAGTGGGGAGGAGCTCTCCCAGGTTTGTGTGGGAAAGTCTTCACGTTGCCTTCACAGCTAAAGGACGGTTTTCTTTTCGGCTGGCAGTGTTTTCTCTCACCACGTTGACCGTTCATCCCACTCTCCCATGGCCTGCAGGGTTGCTACTGAGAAATTCCCTGAGAGTCATCCTGGCGTTTCCTTACATGTGAGACATTTCTTTTTCTCTTACTGCTTTAAAAATTCTCTTTGTCTTTGATTTTAGACAGTTTTATAATAATTTGTCTTTGATAACATTTCTTTGGATTGCATCTGGGGACCTGTGTATGTCACAAACTGATGGGTGTCCAAATCTCTTCCCAGATTTAGATGTTCTTGGCAGATATTTCTTTAAATACGCTTCCTGCCCCTGTCTCTGTCAGCCCTGTGGGGGATTCTGAGGCTTTCTCAGAGCTTTTCTATGGATATGCCTGCTCCACCCTTCTTGCTTCCTCTTGTGGAGGGAATCCTTAAGATTATATGAGTTCTCCCAGTCCTGCAAAGCCAGGCCAGATTTGGGCAGCCTCCTGCCTGCTTTCCCAGGGGGTGGTGCTCAATGCCCAAGTCTGTGTGCTTTCTCCTAACCCTGCAGAGCCAATAGGCTTTCAGGGCCTGCTCACTAGCCACCTTCAAAGGCTCCTACCTGCCACCCTTGGGCCTGCACAGGGAGCCAGCTTTAGGTAAGGCTGTGTGTGTATGAGTGGCACAGTGTATTAGGGCTGTCTGTGTGCATTTGGGGGATTGGTAGACGTGGCATCCTCAGCAGCTTGTGGGCAGGCTTCCTGATGGAGTCTGCCAAGCAGCTGGTAGGCTCTGCATCCTTAGTATTTTGAACCCTCTCTGCTGTTCTCTCAGTCCCTTCCCACTCCTGGGTTACGCGGCTCATCTCACTGTGCTGAAAGGTGGGAGAAACGCACTCCTCAGTGACTGCTGGGGCTCTGACTCTGAAAGGGGTACCAGGGCCTCATCCTGCCAGCTGGTCTTCAGAGGACGGGAGCAGGCAGAGGTGAGGCCCCACCTAGGGTCTTGTGGCGAGTGTCTTTGCATGGTTCAGAGCTAAGAACTTCTGTAGTGGTTGCCTCTTATCCATCAGATGGAAGGCTTGAGTCCCTCAGGGGCAGAAGAAGACAGGAGAGCCCTTGATTGCATTGGAGCCTGTGATGTGGCCCCAGCTGGTCCTGGGGGCCTTCCGGAGTGCCCTGGGCATTGTCTGGAGAGGTCAGCCGGTCAGTGCTTCTCTCTAAGGTAATCACTGGTAGCAGCTGGGTGTATTTACCTTTCTTCCCCCTTCGTATGAATTTACAACATATATGTGTAATTAGGTATCTTGATGGTTTTACTTACATAAATGGGATCATAAAAATATGCAATGTTTTCACCTACACATATATCTTGGATATACTTTCTCATCAGCATAATACATCAAATTCATTATTTTTTAACCATTATGTAGTATTCTGTAGTATGAAGACTATAAGCCACGAAATCACCCGACTTTATCAGTTGCCGACTATCTCTACGCATCAGTAGTCCAGCGTTCCTGGTGTCTTGTGTTTGTAGCTGGGCTTTGGCCATTTCCAGCAGGACAGAGTGGACGACACTTTTGACTTCTCCTTAGAGGGGCTCCGCTATTGGGAGCCACCCTGGTGCCTGAGTCAGTCACCCTCATGATGTCATAGGCCCCCCTCTGCTCTTTCTACCCATGCCGTGGCCAGAGGGACACAGACCTGAGGGGATTTGAGCCATCTACCCCCAATCCATGTGGGACCAATGGTGAAGAAGAGACAGACAAACCAGGCGTTTTAGGGACACCCCCACAGAGATGAGGGGTCCCCAGGCATCTGTGCATTCTGGGGAGCCCTGTAAGCTCGGACTGTGTGGCACGCTGAGTGGGGGGAGGGAGGAGGGGCTTCACTCTGCCTTTTCCTCCCTGCTGACTGTAGGAGGACCAGGCTGAAAAACCCGCTGAACCCACTAAAGTTGAGCCTCAGCAGAAAGAGGGGCCGACCAGTTTATCCTCAGAGCCACTGGCCTCCAAGAAGGTGGAGGTCAGAGGGGCTCGCTTGGAGGCCGCTGGTCCCTGTGTCCTCGGGCTTGGGGCTTGTGTCTTCTGTGTGATCCAGAGCTGAGGACAGGAACCAGCTCATTCCTGTCAGTCTGCTCTCCACAATTCTTTTTCAGGCTGAAGATTTGACTGTGGTTGCTGCAAAGAGAGTGGATGATGCTAATAAGAGACCCAAGGAAGTATGACATCCCCTCTTCCCCTGATCATGCAGGGCTGGGGTGGGGGGCAGCTGTGCTTCTGGAAAACGATGGCCAACGGATGGGAAACTGGGCTTAAAGTGTGCTTGTGTGTGTTTGGTTGTTAATTAGATTTACAGTGTGAAAGTCAACAGAAATGGAGATGGGGGAGAGAGATGGGGTGGAACTTTATGGGGTGGAGGAAACAATGATAGAGCAGGTTGTGGATTGGAGCTGGAGTGAAGGATGGAAGGGCAGGATTATCAAAGGCTGCCACTTCTCCAGCAGATGAGTGGGGCTGCAGGAAAGGGCCACGGATCTTGGTTAGGTGGGCAAGCTCCCCTGTGGGCCACAGTAACCCTGTGGCTCGTGGGTCATGGTGTTCTTGCCCTAGGCTGGCTGTGGTCCATGTGAAACTTGTAGCCAGGGCAGGTGTGCTCCCATTTTACAGATGGGGACTCTGAGACTCAGAGGTCACTGTGATGTGGCCATGTCCCTTAACCAGAGACTGGCAGAGACAGGGTTTCATGTTCCAGCCAGAGTCCTGCCCTGTGCTCCTGAGGCTCAGGAGAAAGGTTAACTTTATTTTATTTTATTTTTTATTTTTGCTATCATTAATCTACAATTACATGAAGAACACTCTGTTTACCAGGCTCCCCCCCTCACGACAAAGGTTAACTTTTGATAGGGAATTGGGGTCCCAGCCTCGCACACCCTGGGGCTGAGGTGGTGGGGGACATTCAGTGTCTCTTGTTTTTACTTGCAAGATCCCAGGAAACAAAAATACCTCCCCTCCCAGTAATCCAGAAGCTATAAAGATCCAGGCGTGGTGGCGGGGCACCCTGGTGCGCAGGACGCTGCTGCACGGGGCGCTCAGGGCGTGCGTCATCCAGCGCTGGTGGCGGCTGACTGGGGGAGCTGCTCCGGAAAAGACGGCGGACGGCCCTGGAGACCTTTACATGGAAGGAATGGGCAGCAGTCAGGCTGCAGGCCTGGGTCCGCATGTGGCATGTCCGCCAGTGGTACTGCTGCTTGCTGCACGCCACCCGCGTCATCCAGGCGTACTGGAGGTTCCACTCCTGTGCTTCCCACGGGGTTCATCCAGGGCCACTACAGAGTCATGGCCAACCAGCTGCACCTCGAGCTGGAGGTCCTGCGTTGTGAGGGAGTGTATTCCCCTCCCAATAAAGCAGTGATGCGGTCCTCGCCCAGCCTCTCTCTTAGGGACAAGCCCGGAGGTCAGAGTCCTGAGGCAGAGTGTCCCCTGCTCGCTCTGAGGATGCGGCAGGGTGTCGGAGGCCCCAGGTTATCTGCAGGGACAGACTCTGAGCTCTCTGCACGGAGCAGGCTCAGAGAGCCCCACTACACGGAAGGTGAGGGCTGTGACCTGGTCATGGCAGGAGACCTGCAGGTAATGGGGGAGCTGCCCCACCGAGGGCAGGGAAGGGATGACGCTGCCGGGGGGCACAGGCGTGGACGGTGGGCTCCCTGGAACATCGCTTGGTGCCTTGCAGCCCCGCCCCTCCTCCACCCTCCCCGCAGGTGTCTACTGAGACCCCTGGAGCACCTCAGGTAGAGGTGTGGAGAATGGGGAGCGTGGGAAGACCCTGCGATGCTGGTACTCCTGTGCGCAGGGGTCACCCACAGAGGCCAGAGGCCACTGATATCTTGCTCTCTGTGCTGTGTCCCTGCAACCAGGGGCCCCCTACCGTCGTATCCCACCAGGCTCCTCGGCCCTGAAAACCTCCCTGGGCTGGTGTCACTCCTCTGCTCCTCAGCCCTGCAGAGGCTCCTCCCTGCCCACTGGCTTGAGCCCAAGCAGGTGCTGGTGGCACTCAAGGCCCTGGACCATCCCTTTCCCTAAGGACACCACACCCACCACAGGCCAGCCCTGGCCTCTCCTGAGTCTCCCTCCATCCTAGACCCCCTTGCTTCCTCGGCTGCATGTGTGGGATCTTCCCTGTGCCCTGGGCGCACAGGCACTAGGATCCCTCCCCCGCCACCTCACTCAGATCCCAGTGTGAAGCTCCCTGCCTTAAAGCCGACACAAAGGTATTTAAATACACTTTTACTGAGGTGTAATTTGCATGCATGTGATAACATGTATCCATTTTAGGTACATTTGTTTTTTTTGGACATGTCTGCACACCTATGTGACCATTGTGACAATCAAAATGTCAAACATCCCATTATCTACAAACTTCCCATGCAGCCCCAGCCCAGCCCATCTGGGTGACCGTGCTTGGTCTCCACTGACCACAGTCTGGTCCACAGCATGTGGGTTCACAGCGTGCCCTCATCAGAGTTGGGCTTCTTTCACTGAGCTGAGTTTTAAAGATCTGGGTTGGAGGTTTCTTAGGTTTATTTCTAGTAACAATGAGAATCAGAAGCAATGGAAAAGCACGAAGATGCTGGTATCCTCATGACGTGAGGCTCAGATCGAGTCTGGGCAGAGCTGCGACCAAACGCTGGCTGTTCCACTGAGAAGCTGTGAGGCCAGGGTAAGCCGCATGGGGCCTCTGCACCTTAGTGCCCCGTCTGTGAGGTGGGGTGAGTCCCACCACTCCACAGCCGGTGCCGTGGACAGCAGGACGTGGTGCAGGGGGCCAGACTCTGGGGCCGTCGGGGCTGCAGGGCTCCCAGGGGCCTGGCTCACACCTCTGTCTTCAGACGGTCCCAGGCCTTCACTGATGTGTGCATTGCGACCCACTGTCCAACCCTTTCTCCCACTGGCTCCTGTCTTCCCCATGCCCCATCCCACTGACTTCATGCAGACGCTCCCCCGGCCTGCAGTAGCTTCCTCTCCATCTCCCCGATAGACCTCTGGCCTCCCCCGTACTCTGCATGCACTCCTCAGTGACCCCGAGGCTGTGACCTGAGGGGACCAGGGTCTCATGACACCCAGGTGGGTCTTCAGAGGTCAGGGGCAGACAAGGTGGGGTCTGTTCGTGCAGTGCCTGCCCCTCACCCATCTCCTGTGACCTTGCCCTCTGTAGAAGGGGAGACAGGAGATAACTGGGGCCACCGAGATGGGGGCCCTGCTGGGCCCAGGGCCTTCATGGGTTTTCTGGCCTGAAGGCTCCTGCTCTCCCAGCGGCCTGATTCCTAGGTGACTGACAGGCCAGACACAGGGTCAGCCACAGTGCAGGAGCTTGCTGTCCCCTCAGTTTCACTGTCCTCATCAGGGATGGCCATTGCTGGTTTTGTGTGTATCTTCCCAAACCCCACCCCCTTAAAAAATTCATGTCTTTATAACACAAGTCTGTGAATATATGCCTATACTGAGTTCATCTTCATTTGATGAACCTACTAACCTTGCTAAATCTCGTTTTCACCTTTCTGTATCAGGACATGGAGAATACTCTCCCTTTCTGATTATTATTTGGTATACTGTTTAAATGAACTGGAATCTATTTAATGAATACCAGCCAGGCTTTAAGGCCAATCATTATATCCTTTTATGTCACTGGGTCAGTATTTGGGATGTTCCCCTTTGTGGCGAGAAATGGCCATTCTGGAAGGAGCGGAAGGCCAAGTTCTAGGTTTCCGTCCCAGGGCTCACCCCCTGGGGACCTTTCTGATGCCTGTGTCATAGGTCCCTTATGACATCAAAGCTCTCTCCCTACCGCTCCTCTTCCTGCCAGAGTGTGGCTAGCAGAGAACAGACCTGGGAGTGGCGGGAACATCTTGCTCCTCACCATGGACAATTCAGTAGCGTGAGGCTCGAGGGAGCTGGCCATCTGCATTCCCTCCAAACCATGGGTGTTCTTTAAGAGAGTCAGTCCAACCCCAGCCTGCTGGGAGAGCATATACTTCACACAGTTTCTTCAGGATGCGCCCTCTCCTGCATGTCCTAGATCCTGGGACAGCCCCGGAGGCCGAGTGTGGCTGACGAGCACCTCATCGCGGGGAGAGCAGCCTTACTTTCTCCCATGTTTTTCTCTCTAAGCTCTGATTCCAAGTTATAGTCAAAGATGGTGAAATCACGTCGACAGGACAGAGCTTGAGGGAGCAAAGGCCCCCGGCTCTGTCATCCAGGTGTATTGGCGCAGGCAGAGGTGCCACGCCCGCAGCTTTTTCCAGGGCCATTGCAACTTCAAGGAAAACCAAATGAATCTTCAACTTGAAATCTCTCTGGGCTCAGAGGCACATAGGATACAACAGTGCATATCCATTCCAATAAAGGAATGATCGGGTCTACTGTATCTGAGTCCCCAGCTCCTGTGCTCAGACATAGTTCAAGGATGTCATTGAGCTAAGGACAGCAGATGCTGGCCATTCACAGCCGCCTCCTGGGGTCGCCTGGGGCCCCCTGTAAAGGTGCTGGGTGGGGGGCCTGTGGCCGGTTAGCAATGTCTTCCGCTTTCAGCGGGGAGGAGGGCAGGGGGTGCAGGCCCGCCAGTCCCCAGACCCAGGACACCCTTCAGCGTGGGCTGTGTGAATGGTGCCCCCTATCGTCGTGCAGCCTGGAGGCCTGGGTGGCCTGACGCTCTTACTCGTTCAGTGTCCTCCCATTCGATTCAGTACGTTCCACAAGCCCTCCCCCTGGTCTGGCCCGGCCACACCACATCTCTGTGTCTTCCCTGGCACCCTCCTACTGTCCCCGTCCCATCAGGCTACCCTTCCAGTGCTGTGCCCTCGCTGCCTCCTCTCCACCGATGCCCTTCCGGAAGGAGCTGGTGCCCCCAGGTTTGTCTCTGCTCCGGGCTCCCTTCTCGGGGCCTGCTCTGACCACCCCGTCTACAGGGTCCCCACGTGGGCTGTGGCTCCTGACTGGCCCTCCTGGGTCAGAGTCCCGCCACTGCTGGGTCCTCCGCCTCCCTCTCCTTCCTGTTGGTCCACTAGAGGCCGCGCTGCAGGAAACAGGGCCTCGGGTCAGCGCTGCTCCCGGACCTGGGCAGTGGGCTGCCCCTCCCCTCGTCAATATGAATTGTGTGTACTTTCCATGTTCTGTATATTATGATGTTCTGACAGCTTCTAAAAAATTCCTGTTTTGGGCGAGACTCCCCCAGGGCTGGGCTGTTAGGGACAGTGAAGACTCAGCCCTGAGCAGGCCTTTGATTTACAAACTACCCAGTCCAGATCCACCCCTTCCCGCTGTCCTGTACGCCCCAGAGGGCAGTCCTCTGCCTGAACCATCCCTGGTCAGGCCCCAGACCCCTGGGGCGTCCCTAGCAGCTTAGAGCCCACCGAAATCACTCAGAGCAGCAGTGCCAACCTGTACTACCCTATCTGCCTCTCCCACTCCCAGAAAGGCCACGGAAAAGCAATGCCTGCAGCCCCTGCCCTCCCCATGCCCCACACAGCCGTACTGCAGGCCTCCCAGACGCCCAGTCTGGGAAGGGGAAGGGACCACACCCAGGTTTTCGGGGTGGCACACTCATCCCACACATGCTCACTGACACCTCTCACAGGACAGATATGTGTGCCTGATACACAAGCATGCCCGCCTGTGCCCTGACACTGTCCCCAGAGCCAGCACCTTCTCATCCACGGACACACAAGCACAGAGCTGCAGAGCTTGGTCTGGCACCCACCCTCTCCCCAGTGATTGGAAGGACACTCCCTGGCCTCTGTGGAGGAGCACGGCTGGGCTCTGTCTGTGCCCCTCTGTGTGGTGCGCTCAGAAAGCAGCAGCCACCGTCCAAAAGGGCGAGGAGTCGAGCTTCCGGGCTGCCCAGTGGCAGAGAAAGGGCAAGAGCTGCCCAGCCTGAGCCCAGAACCAAGGGCCACATACCTGGGTCGCTCCACCTGCCCTCTCCCCCAACATGCCCTGTCCTGGGGCAGGAAACCAACCGCACCAGGTCCTCTGGGCCTCAGCATGCCCCTCCCCCCTTCCCCCGCCTCACCTCCCCACCACCTCTTTTCTCCGGTCACCCACTTCCCGGCTCACTGGATCGGGCGTTGCCACCAGCCTGGTCCCCACCCTGATGCCACATGCCTGTGCCCCTTCCTGCAGCTTCCTTGGGCCAGTGCCCGCACCCATGCCCGCTCTGCTGTTGGCTGAACAAGATCACTACTGTGAGGAGTGACGGGGCCACCAAGGCGAGGAGAGGGGCTACCCGTCTCTGGGGACCCCATCTGGGCAAAGGGAATTCCAACTGCTCAGTAGCGCGGGGTGGGTGCTGGCTGTCTAGGCGGATGACCCGTGGTCTGGGCTGTCCCAAGCTGTCCCCAGGACCACCTCCACCTGGGTGGTTTCTGTGCCCCCAGTACTGCCCACAGGAGGGCCGCGATGAGGGCCACCCCAGCATCCCACCCTGAGGATGTCCCCGACCGCCACTCCAGGTCCTGGTTCCAGTTCAGC